GGTCAGTTTTATACGTATAATTTTCGGCAATACACAATTTTTGTTTGCATTTATGCAAGTATTACGTATTTTGCTATAAATAGGTGCGGTACCCCAAAAAATGTTCACGCCTCCGGCGGGCTTTTCTGTGTATATATATATAGCCTCCCCTAGACTCCAATGCACGAGCCGTCACTGCATTTTAGAATAAAAATAACGAAACAAACTTTGCTATACGCAAAACCAGAGACAACCAACTTGTCTCTGGCAAAACCTTCATTTCATTGCTAACTAAACCCACATTCTAGTATATTGAGTATTTCTCATATTTTTATTGATAATATATTCTGTTTTGGAAATTTGGATAAAGAGTCTGCGATTTTATTAGGTGACAGGGTTCATTATACTGATGTTGATTTTATTAATAAAATATCAAGTATTGCTTTGTTGTTTTTTTTTAGGGAAAGGATGGGCATGTTGCGTTATTGCTTGATAATAATAATCTTTTTCTACACCCGTACTCTAACAATACACTTATATGACCATATTGAATTATATCCGACAACCATTGAATCAGTTGGAAAACAACTTCATCGGCTAATACCACGCTGGATATTGAATTATATCCGACAACCATTGAAAGATAAGGTTAGTCTCGCAGATGTTGTTCATCCAGCAGCAGGATCATCCTGAAACTTTTCAAGCCACCGTATTCACCAGATTTGCCCCCCTGCGACTGTTTTCTGTTCCCGAGATTGAAGAGACCCATGAAAGGATGGCGTTTTGCGACGATTGAGGAGATAAAAACCGAATTGATGAACGAATATATATCTTTTTGGAGAAAAATGAAAATTCACTTCATTTTTGAACATACAGTGTAATGTATTGCATTTTAATCGTTTTGTATCATTTCAGGAGATGAGAAACATTTATTAATTTTACCTTCATTGTGGTTTCTCGGAGCATACCGATCTCTTTTTATAATTGTTCATATACCATCTGTTTTGTTTTTCCGTTAACCACCTGCTGCCCGCTATAAACAACTCTCAAAAGTCGAAACTTGGGCGAGTTGAAGATTAATGAGATCCAACCTTTTAACGTGCGATACCTAGCACGTTAGGTCACAAACAATAAAAAATTGCAGATATAATGGTTTCACTTATAATAATAAATCATTTGATTAACTTGGACAGAAGCAAAAGCCTCTATTCAAATTACTCCCTTTTTTTCTTCTTCTGAATTCAATTTTTTTTTTATTTGAACAATATTGCAACCAATAACGTGTTAGTGTTGTCTTTATTCAGATGTTGAGAAAATCACCATTAATAACATTATAAACAATATAAACAAGTTGAGAGGGCTTTTTAAAGTTTGGTTTGGGAATAATTGTAATGTCGCTTGTAATACAAAAATAGTAATGTATTTTTTCCATAAATCACTATAGATTTTATTGAATCATACAAAAAAACCCTCAAATAAATTTTCAAAAATTCCAACCAGAACCACCTCAAACTTTCCTAGTAACCTAAAATACACTCATTATTCATCCTATTCAACTGAATCACTTTCTGATATACGGCAAACATTGTCGAGAGATCGTACAATAGAGTTGATTTGCTTTTCTTCCATGCGTTTTTGTTTTTTCTTAGCCCTATTTCTTTTCCTTTTGTGCTTTCCTGGCGAGTCAGTCTTTGAAAGTTCACTTTTGTGATCATTCTGTTCAAAGTCTTCCAAAAACTTTCTCTTTTTCAAATTCTTATCCTTATCCTCAAATTGAGTTAGTTCGAGATCAACGCCATCATTGAGTTTCTGAAGGAAAGTTCCAGTTGCAGAAGTTTTCTTAGCTTCTAGTTTTCTCTTCTTCTTTAGTTTCTTTCGTTCAGCTTTTGAGAGATCGCTAATGTTGAATTGTCCAACTTCAAAACTCTTATGATTGTCTTGCTGCTCGTTATTATTGTTTTCTATATCCTGTTCAATGCCTGAAAAATAAAATGAGATTTTCATTAATTGAAAGGAGTATTTTTCATGTTATAACAGAGTCAAGAAACTTTAAAATCATGATAGAGACAGATCTGAGAAATCAAATAATCGTATGTAATGATATTTAGTGATCCTCCCGATTAAATGCCTTCAAAAAGTCTGTATAGACTGCATCCATCGGGCCTTTTTTATACAACCTCTATATTTTGCTCAAACACCAATAGGTTGGTAACTGTAGATTTTTTCATAGAAAGCCTATGTTGACTATTTATTAAACGTACTTTGCATTTCAATTATTATTGTGTATTGTGACACTTAACGACATCTAGTGGCGAGTAGTGGTACTATGTACTATAACCAAAGCGAATACTGAACAAGAGTCTGCAAGCGCCAGCCCCTTCAAGGGGAAGATTAAACGTTCAATTTTCAATGAGGCATGATCTTTTTAGATAATTTCAAACAGCAGAGATAAGATAAAAAAAAAACAAAAAGCTGTTCGCACAGTTCATGACTGTTAATTAGAAATTATCCTTTGGCTCAGTCCATTTGTAAAAAAGGTTTCATGGCTCCTTCTTTTAAGGCAGTCAATATTTTTGTTGGATTGGTGTTATCTGAGTTTTGATCAACGCTTGATGACACCATATTTTACTTCACTTTAACGACTCTATATTCTGTGTTTTCGAGCCTAAGTTAAATCATGAAATCAAAATTATACAAGATACATCCAGCTTATTGTCTATTCTTTGGCTGGAAATAATATAAATAATAACCAGTTTAATATTGAAAAAATCTTAAATGAAAGCTGTTTCCCAGAGAATTCCCATTCCAAACTGGGAATTTAAAAATAATTCCAACATTTGTATATTTCTAGTGGATTGTGTATATCTGTGATAAAAATTTCCCTTGAAGGATAAGAATTGAAATTATTTCTGAAAAAAGCATATCACTGATATAAAAAAGAGAATATTAATAATGTGGTTCTGATATATAAAATATTATTTCCATTGTATTGTTTCAATATTGGTATGTATGACTGCCATGGATTGCTGAAGAAAATGCCCTGTTCTCCTCAATTCCAGAGGTATGGGCAACACTTCAATGGAGCAGACATGCGACAATATGAAAATAAGGGGCGAATATATCTAAAATCTATGTAAATTATAGTTTTTAGAGATTATCATCGAAATAGTACTTGCCTTCATCTGATCCGCTAGCAATACTTTCTAAATTTGGTTCATTACTATTCTTGTCCTTTACTGAACCAACTTCACTATCAAAACTGAATTCGTGATCTCCGTAAATTTCTGTAACAGTAACGGTTTCGTTGAAAGAAACGCTCTTGCGTTTCTTTTTCCTTTTGAAACCATTGGAAGAGATACTTTCCATGCTGTCTTCAACAATGGGAGTATATTTCTCCCTTTTTTCAACTTTTTCTCAGTAATTATTTTGTCAGAAGTTTCATTATCAGACAAAGAAACTTTTTTCATTTTTTTCAACAGCATTTTTTCTTGTTTTTCTATTCTAGACAATTTTCCGCCAAGTTTCAAACCATGCCGAGCACCTTTATGAGCGGTTCTTCCTCCACAAGCAGCAAATAATTCATCATCAGTCAGAGGTTTGAATTCTGTTGTATTTTTATAAATTTTAGGAGTATCGTATTGTTCCTCGGTATTACCCTTTAACTTCGCAGTTTTAAGAAAAGAACCATATTCAAGATTTTTATTCTTTTTCAGCTCTTTGACTGAATAACTTTTAGTTGATATTTCAACTGAATATTCAGATTTAATTTTCATTTTAACCTCATTTTTTCCATCTACTTCAACATCGATGTTTTCAGCAGCATTGTTATAAAGTTTTTCCCACCAATTGTTTGTGAACTGTCTTCCAGCATCATGTCCCACTCCTGAATTATCAAATTTTAGTTTTGGTTTAAGAGCAGCAGAAATTCCATTTTCATTCTTCCCTAATCCCTTGCCTGTTGATAATAAAAAGTCAGTTTATATGTAAATTTCGAATTACAGTTTAGTTTTTTTTTCACATGAGTTATCCCTGGATCAAGAACCTTCTCAAAATTACCTTCAGACCAGCCATACTTTTCGAGTTGCTTGCGGGCAAAATCCATTATGAAAATTAGTACTTCTGTGTTCTCTTTATTATATCATTTTGTCATTAAAATATTTGTATTCACCACTTTATATGATACAAATAACCACTAAAATCAGCTGCAAAATGAAACCCAAATAGAACTATCAAAAATAAAACAATATCGACAGAACACCGTTGTTCTGTGAGAATGTCTCAGTCAAACTCAGAACAAAATTCAAGTGTTTTGTTCTGTGATAGAAATGTGGTCCATTCAAAACAATAGCGTTTTATTGGTTGAAACAATCCATTTAATTTTTCTGTCAAGTTTGTCAAAAAAAAGAGTGTCGTATATGTTATCATATTTAATGCCAGTATTCCAGTCTAGTGCCTACATCGATTTCGTTTTCTTTATGGCTAAAAAATCATAACATGTATTTAATTCAAATTGAAAGGACATTTTTTCAGTTGGAGAAGTAGAATGTATTCAATATAATTTTTATTTACACTTCCCTGGTTCAAAAGTAGTGGTTGGAGTAGAGTCCAACCCAGTTACATCATCTTCGGAGCTGGGTAAATGTTCATAGTTACCGAGCCTATTGAACCAAAGGTTAGGGAAAGGAGATAAAATGATTTTGGGAATTATTTATATAATAATAATGATAGATGGTGGTATATTGCATAATTGTAGTATTTCTTTCATGAGTAAGTTAATCAATGCCAGTAATGTCATAATATCATCATGTCCATGACTTGTACTTTCAAAAAAATGTTCTTTGAACAACCCTTTTGACAAGACTGTCTACAACAAACTAGTGTACTAGTGTACTATAATGTTGACTGATGATGAGTTTTCAGTTGTGAGTTGAGTTTCTAAATATGTCAAGTATCAATGGAAATAAAGGCTTTTTACTTCTCCATTTTTTATACAATAAATGTGAAAAACTATCCATGACTTGTACTTTCAAAAAAATGTTCTTTGAACAACCCTTTTGACAAGACTGTCTACAACAAACTAGTGTACTAGTGTACTATAATGTTGAGTGATGATGAGTTTTCAGTTGTGAGTTGAGTTTCCAAATATGTCAAGTATCAATGGAAATAAAGGCTTTCTACTTCTCCATTTTTTATACAAAAAATGTGAAAAACCTTCAAAGAAAAAAAAGCAATTAGTTTCAAAATGAACTCTTTACAAACACTTGTGATCATGCAGATACAAACTGGAAAAAAAGCTCTTTCAGAACAACTTCTTTCATATAAACATCGACATACACGGAAGATAAAATATTGTCGAAACAACTACTTTTATATGAACACTGCATTATACAATAATTATTTTTTTTTTTATTCAGTTTGTAGTCTCCTAAAAATATAGCCCTTTTCAATTCAATCAAATATATACTTCTATATCAGAGGTGAAATCGTTAGATCTACCGGAAAATTGGTGTAAACGCCAACGCTGGTGGTTATGTTGGTATGTAATTAAGAGAAGGGTCAATGGACGATTCCAGTACCCCTATTCAGTGTTGCCACTATAAAATTCCCTAGGATTTTTTATTTTTGTTCATATCAACTTTAATTCTTCGATTCACATATCCGGGAACATCCAGAAATCTATAACATTGAAATTTAAGTTATTGGATAATTGAAATATGCAAAACATGAAAGTGATCTGACACTATTGATAAATAATAATGCTAAAAATTCCAAATTCTCTTAGTTTCTGGGAATTTTCCGTGAAATATCCAAGTTTGTGAAGTTGCCATAATTTCAGTGACATTAATTTCAGACGTTAAAGAAAGGGAAAGGAGCAGAGATCGAAATGAAAAGGATAGAAGAAAACGATCTCGATCTCGCGAACATAGACGAAGATCTAGGTCAAGGAGCAGGGAGCCACGTCCAAGAAGAAGAAGCCGTTCAGGATCTCCAAAACATAACAAAAGCGCTTATTCCAGACGTCGTAAGCCATCTCTATACTGGGATGTCCCACCGCCAGGATTCGAACACATCACCCCTTTACAGTATAAAGCCATGCAGGCCGCTGGTCAGATTCCTGCAAATATAGTTGCCGATACTCCGCAAGCAGCGGTACCTGTAGTGGGGTCAACCATTACAAGGCAAGCTCGGCGTTTATATGTCGGCAACATTCCGTTTGGTGTGACTGAAGAGGAAATGATGGAATACTTCAATCAACAAATGCACTTGAGTGGTTTGGCTCAAGCGGCAGGCAATCCAGTACTAGCTTGCCAGATAAATCTCGATAAAAATTTCGCGTTCTTAGAATTTAGGTCCATTGATGAAACAACCCAGGCCATGGCATTTGACGGCATCAATTTCAAAGGTAAGCCCCATTTTGGTTAGACATTTTTGTTGCATAAAAATGCTGCAAATGGTATTTTTAACCCGGGTCAAAGTTGTCATCAGGAGATAATTAATCTTTGATATGTCAATAATCAATGACTTTTCAAATTTCCGTTATTAAACGCAGATGTCTCTCGCTTATGACTTCATGGGTATTTAATAAATTACAACAAAATATCAAAGAAATTTAGAGTATGAAATTCACGACTAAGAATAAGTTGAAGAGCCTTTGACAGAGGACCCGACACAAATATCATTACAGCATGAGTTTCGATTTCAGCTGAACAACACCTCTTTTTTACAGGTCAGAGTTTGAAAATTCGCAGACCTCATGATTACCAACCGATGCCTGGTATGGCGGAAAACTCCATTAGCGTACCTGCTGGTGTAATCAGTACTGTTGTACCAGATTCGCCTCATAAAATTTTCATTGGAGGTCTTCCAAATTATTTGAACGAAGACCAGGTAAGACATGCCGTCAAACTTTGCGTGAATGGCGATTTTCTGAAAGGGGTCATCAGCTTTATCAACTCGCTGTTTTACTTTGTTAAGCACAAGCAAGTCTTGCTTGGATTTTTGAATTATCCATCCATTGGATGTCTAATGGATATCCAATTAGGCATAAACTTACACGTCCTATGCATATCAATTTTTGAGCCAGAATGGACTTGATTCGCCACCGAAATGTACAATAAGGATTCAGTTATTTGACTTATTCAAGAAACACTGTGAGATTTTTACTAAACAGTTTCACGAAAACGCAGAACGTTTTTCGTTATATAATAGCTTTTTTGGGCGTGTCTTTACTAACTTTCAGTACTGCTATACAATAGCATCTTCAGGCGTCACAATACTGGCGTCAGTATTGTGACGCCTGAAGATGTCAGTATACTGTCGCCAGTATTGTGATGCCTTAAGATGCAAGTATTGTGACGCCTGAAGCTGCCAGTATTGTGACGCCTGAAGTTGCTATTATACTGACGTCAATATTGTAATGCCTTGAGATGCAAGTATTGTGACGCCTGAAGCTGCCAGTATTGTGACGCCTGAAGATGTCAAAATACTGACGCCAGTATTGTGACGCCTGAAGATGCCAGTATTGTGACGCCTGAAGGTCCCAGTATTATGACGCCTGAAGTTGCTATTATACTGACGTCAATATAGTAATGCCTGTAATGTATTGTATTGTAACTCCTGATGATGCCAGTGTACTGCTGCTAGTATTGTGACGTCTGACAATGCCAGTGTACTGAAGCCAGTATTGCGACGCCTGAAAATGCCAGTATTGTGACGCCTGACGATGCCTGTGTACTGACGCCTGACGATGCCTGTGTACTGACGCCTGAAGGTGCCATTATATTGACGCCAATATTGTAACTCCTGACGAGGCTAGTTTACTGCCGCTAGTATTGTGACGTCTGACGATGCCAGTATTGCGATGCCTGAAGGTGCCAGTATATTGACGCCTGAAGATGCCAGTATTGTGACGCCTGACAATGCCAGTGTACTGTTGCCAGTATTATGACGCCTGAGGGTGCCAGTACTGTGACTCCTGAAGTTGCCATTATACTGACGTCAATATTGTAATGGCTGACGATGCCAGTGTACTGACGCCAGTATTGCGATGCCTGAAGGTGTCACTATATTGACGCCTGAAGATGCCAGTATACTGACGCCAGTATTGTGACGCCTGAGGGTGCCAGTACTGTGACGCCTGACGATGCCAGTATACCGCCGCTAGTATTGTGACTCCTGAAGTTGCCTTTATACTGACGTCAATATTGTAATTCCTGACGATGCCAGTGTACTGCTGCTAGTATTGTGACGTCTGACGATGCCAGTATACTGACGCCAGTATTGTGACGCCTGAGGGTGCCAGTACTGTGACGCCTGACGGTGCCAGTGTACTGCCACTAGTATTGTGACGCCTGAAGCTGTCAGTATACTGACGCCTGAAGATTCGAGTAAACTGACGCCAGTATTGTGACGCCTGTATAAACCAGTATAGTGACGCCTGAAGATGCTATTGTATAGAAAAACACGTGTCGGATTTTGTAAACTGTCAAGTGGAAATTTCACATTGAAGTTTTTTTCTTAACAAAACAACAAGCCAAAATGACATTTGTATGTAAAAATGGAGGTTTTACTCTTCTTTAGGTATATGATTTACGCCCTGTATAATATTAGTACTCAATAAATTGATTGACGTTTTTCATAGTAATGGGTATGCATAATAAGTCGAGTTGATAGAGTTGAGAAGGATGTTTCAGGGTGTTAGTTTCTCCATATTCTTTAGCATCAGAGTATGAAAATATGGGCACCAACCAGCAGTCAGAGAATTTAAAAAAAGATATTTTCACGAGGGTTGTTTCTTTTACAGCCTTTACAGGTTTACAGGGTTCAGCAGTATTCAGCAGAAAAACTTTTTTAGCTTTTCAGCATTTTTCTAGATTTTTCAGCCCTGCACTATAAACACATTTTGTGTGTGTTCCCGAATAAGAAAATGATGAAAGTGGAAACAAAAGCTCGACAAACTTTAGAAAAGTGTGTCTTGCGGTAATTTTCGAAAACAATTTTTCTGTGCGCGAACTTTACGGTTTTTTGCCGAAAAATGTTTTTCAGGTTTGCAGGTTTTTCACAAACAAACACGAGGGAAGCATTTCAGGTTTTCTCTTTCAGTTTTCTATTTCAGCCTTTTCAGGAAATCCAAAATGGATTATTCAGACCAGATACCGTTGAATATTTCTTAAAGAAAAGTCAGTTTCACCGCATAATGTGACCGATTTTAATGGAGACATTGGAAAAGTGTCACATTATGTGATGAAATTTGCTAATTTCAGGTATTTCAGCATTCATTTTCAGTTTCAACGTCAAAAATGCCCATTGATTATGGTTATCAGATTTGGAAAATGTTGATTGAAAGAGAAAAGTTTGTTCCACCAACAGTGACGAGTTTGAAAGTACAAACATATTCAAAGATGGCATTTCACTTTCGCCTAACAGAAAATAAAAGTATACTTGTCTTGAAAAATCTAGTTTCAGCCGTAGTTATTAACCTCGAAGTTGATAAGTTACTAAAAATGAAAAGATTCTTCTTTTCAAAATCGAATTTGTCTTATTTTCATTGCGTCATATTCAATTAACATATTCTAATCTAAATTGAAATTTATTATTTTAATAAAACCTGTTTTGAAATTCTCTCATATATTCTGCTTTTTTTTGCCCTGTAGCTAGGGTTAACAACTCGATGCGTATGAGTGTTTCTGCAAACATATAAACCTGAACACCCTGTGGAAAAACAAGGCAAGTCATTAATGTATTACGGTACAAAGAACCGCGATTTTTTTCTCTTAATTCTGACTGACTTGGAGGCTGTACAAAATTTTGGATAGGTCACTCGTGTTGCAAAGAAATGAACCGGGAATTTGAGGGGGTTCATTGAAATAACATGTAAAACTGTCCCGCTCAATATTTCAATAGAAAAGTTCAGTTTCAATCTTGTCGATTTTAACGAATATCAAATTCAGAATCGGATGTAAAGTTTTCATTCCAACACAGCCACAATAAGTAAGTTATTGAATTTTATAAACAATGTACTCAAAATCAAAATAGAACTTCGGATAATTTCTGTTGTCATTTAACATTTGTCGAAGTATTTTGAACGCTTTTTATTTTGATTTTGAGTGCGTCTCAGTTTTTTATCGGTTTCAAACTTATTTCTGAATTCGTATGTAGGTAAAGGAACTGCTTATGTCGTTTGGGCAGCTACGAGCCTTCAACCTAGTGAAAGACACGGCTTTTGGACTGAGTAAAGGATATGCATTTGCTGAATATATTGATATCACTATGACTGATCAGGTAAGTTGTTTCGGTATAAATGCAAGGATAATTAATTTTACTGATCCCTGAGACCACTACTTGAAAACTCGAATCATATGTTCGCGCCAACATGTTCTGTTATCATCTGACATCAATATAACAATTCTGACTCGTGCAGAAGTCCCTTTTATACGGCCCTATTTTGTATAAAATATCAAATATTCGAATAGGCTACTTTCGAACACGATTCAGGCTTAAACTCAACATAAATCGAAGTTCAACTTTGCTTCTACTCCTCATGCTACTCGTAATAGCAATTATGAACTGAGTTTTCCTTGGCTTATCTAATAAATTTGTCAGTAGAAAAATGGATTTTCCCAGACAAACCCAAGTCTGGCCTTGCAATCCCAGTATATAAAAAATGTGACCCCCACTCCATTGAAAACTATAGCAAGCTTTATGAATTGAATATAACAAATCAACTGCTTTCATTTTCAACTATGACTAAGTTGCTATCTTCAACACAGCATGGTCTCACAAATGGCAGAAGTACTGAAACTGCTCCATATAATTTTCAAGAAAATGTAATAACAGCCTTGGATGGAAAAGTTCAGATTTGTGGGCTGTTTATTGACTTTTCTTGAGCCTTTAATTGTGTTAATCATGACCTGTTATTAATTAAGCTTGAGCTTTATGGTATAAGGGGTGTAGCCTTGAATTTAATGAAATCACACTTAACTGAACGATCCTAGAGTGTAATCATCAACACAACTCAGAGGCAATCTCTCATTGTTAAACAGGGAGTTCCCCGAGGCTCAATTCTTGGACTTTTGTAATTTTTAATCTATGCTAATGATCTCATTAATTTCCTTCTTGACATCCCTAAAGTCCAAGTAATATCATATGCTGGTGATACAAATCTACTCATAACTGGTGAAGATACTACTGAACTTGTGATAACATCAGAAATGGTATACAATAAAGTAATGGTGTGGTCCGAAAGAAATCTTCTAACGGTTTCAAATTTATAAGGACAATGACATGAAAGTATATGCTAGTGAAACGACAAAGTTGCTTGGACTGACAATCGACTATAAATTGTGCTGGGAACCACATGTCGATATACTTTGTAAAAAGTTAAGAAAACATTGTTATGCGTTAAAGTTCTTATCAAATCATTGTCGCGAAAACATATTATTATTCGTTTATTATGAAAAAATTAACTGTCATCTGCGATATGGTATTCTTGACTGGAATACATGTACCTCTTGGTCACGTGTTTTCGCTCTGCAAAAATTTGCTGTTGCAGGACTAAATTGGAGGCAGTCATGTAGAGAGGCTTTTAAGCGACTAAGGATCTTAACTCTGATGGCTTGTATCTGTATGAACTGTGTATATATGTATACAAACATAAAGATACATTTTTCAATAGAACAGATCATCAATATGGCACTAGATCCAGAAATCTTCTAGTGCCTGCTTTGTACAGAACTAACCTATACCAAAAAAGTTATTTATATTTGGGATGCAAAGTTTTTAATCACCTCGATGTCTCTATCCAAAAATCTCCAAATATTAATATTTTTAAATCCAGACTTGAAGCATTACTTACTGAGAAAAACTGTCACAGTATTAGTGAATTTATGACATAATACTATGTTTTATAAAGATGTTTTCTCTCGACAATCTAATGTTATATTTGTGCTGTTGTTTTCAAATAACATTTGTCAGTCGTACTAAGACACTTTTAACCTTTTCCTATTATGTTCTTGTTGTGTCTTTTTTAAGACTTGCCATCCCAAATTCGAATTTAATCAAGGAATCCATATACTATAATGGTGGTAAGTTGTTCAATCATTTACCACTAGAAATGAGATCTGCAAATCTAAGCAACATTCATTGTCATCAGTTTGGAAGAGAATTTTAGCGAATCCTTTTAACAATACAGTGTGTAACAACGAAAACTTAACAGAGCCGTTTTTGAATATAAAAGGTAAGATTTTTAAAAAAGCTCGGACACATCGATTTCTAATTAAAGGGGGACACCTTTCAGACTAATCAGATTTTTTGTAGTACGCACCCTTCGGAGGGGTGCGTCCGACGACCCTTATTTAGATAGGGAAAGTAGGTCGAGTGGCACCTTGTTTTAAAGGTCTTTCCAATACCTTTACGTCTCTGCTGAAAGAAAATTTTTGTAACGATTAGTTTTTGAGATAATTTGAAGTTAAAATTGCCATGTTAATAATACATTAGACAGACCACTCGGTAACTTGTATGCCTAAATAAAAAAAATTTCGAGTAGTTCTTCTTATCAGTTTTCTGTTAAATCCCTTTTTTGAAATCAATGCCCACTCCTCTTCTTCCAGTTTTATTAGTACATCGTTCGATTGTTTTGTTTAAACGGGTCGTGTATTGTTATTTGTTTAAAAATGCCTTACACTACTGCTGAAAGGGTTTCAGTTATTGCTTTATTTTTTGGCAACGACCAAAATGCTAATAGAACATCAATTTTATTTAACGAGCCTGGTAAACACCTAAGCAGAAATCACTTTCTGGATTTGGTCACAAAATTCAGGGAGACAGGTTCGGATTTAAATAAGAACAGAAATGTTCAGAGAAGGGTAGTAAATGACGATAATGCGATTGGAGTGATTGGTCAAGTCATCACCAATCCCAGGTTAAGTACCAGAGATTTATCAGCAATAGCCGGAAAAAGCCATATGAGCGCATGGAGAATCCTTAAAAACCACAAATTCCATCCTTACGAAATTAAACTTGTTCATGAACTCAATGAGGATGATTTTGACCGAAGACAGGAGTTTTGTGAGGGCATAAGTGAGAGATCAATTCAAAATCCCGAGCTGCTTTATAACATCTGTTTTTCGGACGAAAGCTCATTTTATTTAAATGATATATTAGCAATATATTAGCAATTTATTCTTTGTACTAACACTTTATACATGGTGGTATTTTATCTATACATTTTTAGGACTTTTTTATATTTACATTTATACATTTTTGGAACTTTTTTATATCTACTTTAATACTTTTTTAACACTTTTTCTATATTTAACATTATATTTCTTAGACTTTGTCAATAAGATGCAAATTTTCGGACAATAAAGTATATTTTGATTTGATTTGAACTAATATACTATGTCTGTTTAAAAAAAAAATTAAGTGAAAAAATATTCATCAATCAATTTTAATTTTGTCCCCTTCGAAGTAGTCCCCTTTAGATATAATACATTTGTGCTAGCATTTCCTACAATCCTCTAAACAGTTCTGGTATATCATTGATCTCTCTCAGTAATCCAGTTTTTATCTCCTCAATCATAGCAAAGCGCCGTCCTTTCGTGGCCCTCTTCAATCTTGGGTACAGAAAAAAGTCGCAGGGAGGCAAATCTGGTGAATACGGTGGCTGGGGCATGATTACGGTGTTGTTCTCCTCAATAATAATATAATGTGCTCATACTGAAATTGTGCTGATCAAACTTCCAATCCAATTCTTCTTTTCATTAGACTTTTTTCCTTTTAGGCTATCGCTGGTTTGAATGGGATGCAGCTGGGTGACAAGCGTCTCATCGTGCAGAGAGCCAGCGTCGGAGCTAAAAACACCACCGTGTTACCGGCTGTCCAGATTCAGGTACCGGGTCTCAGTCTGGTTGGAGCCTCAGGGCCGCCAACAGAGGTTCTGTGTCTTCTTAATATGGTAAGTTTTTTCAATGCTACACTTTTACACTAATTTCTTGTTCTCATTTAAAATGAAAGCAACATTTGTAAATGTTACTCGAATAAAAACAAATTTCAGGTAACGCCTGATGAGCTCAAAGATGAAGAAGAGTATGAAGATATACTTGAAGATATTAAAGAGGAATGCAACAAGTATGGTGTTGTGCGTAGCATAGAAATCCCCAGGCCGATTGAGAACGTCGAGGTTCCTGGTTGTGGAAAGGTAAGGAATGGATTTCTGGGTTGCATGATTATGCATTCTGTGTTCTTAATGTAGAAAATGATGTACGCCTTCTGTTCACAAAATGAGGTGTATTTGCACTTTTTGTTATGTTCTTGAGCTCTCTTAGCGAGCTCTCCTCAATCTTCACACAGCGCTGTCCTTTCATGGGTCTCTTCAATCTTGGAAAGAGGAGAAAGTCGCAGGGAGCCAAATCTGGTGAATACGGTGGCTGAGACATGAACGTCATTCAACAATTCCTGAGCGATGCTCATGGAACAGGTTTTTCCGTCAAAATTCCGTAATTTTGAAGGAACTTCGCTGCCACACGCTTCTTGCTCAAAATTGAGCCAACCAATATGTTAACAACCTCAGCAACTTCTTCAATATTGATTCGATAATTCTCTAGGACGAGCGTCGTCATTCATATCTTCTCGACCTTCTGTGAAAAGCCTTCTGTAAACATTTTCTGGTTCAGAGTACAGTCACCGTATGGCACTCTCAACATTTCATGTGTTTTTGAGCACTCACTTTTTCACACAAAATTTGATGCAAATTCTTTTTGATTTATTTTCGATGGCAGAAAATTGCCGAACACGTAAAACATTTCCAATTTTTATACCTCTCACCAACAAACTAAACATGCTAAACAGCAAAAACTGTGAATATATATTCGAGACCAGTGTACCAACATATAAAAATTGCCAATCGAATGTACGTGGCCAGCAAAATTAGAACATTTACCTTATTTTTTCCCAGGATCCACATATGATGTGGTTGTTTGCTTCTAATTGTATTTTTAAGGGGTTTGTTAAATTCTATGCTTAATTTTTTTGCAGGTCTTTGTGGAATTCAACTCCGTGTTGGATTGTCAGAAAGCTCAACAAACTCTAACAGGTAGAAAATTCAGCAATCGTGTCGTCGTCACTTCATATTTCGATCCAGATAAATATCATAGACGGGAGTTTTAGAATTGACATCATCCTTAAGATTACCTTGTAAGTCTATATCAATTTCAACCTTTTCAATTTCAAAATATATAGTTGTAACGGATTTGTGTGGTTTTTTTTTGAAGTTTTTATACAATATCCTAAAGTTTTAGCGCCGAATTCATCTTTGAATTTAGCTTTCAAGTGTATATTAATTTTAACCTGCTGAGGAAGTTTAAAATATAAAGTTGTGATGTATTTGTGTGTTTTTTCATATTTTATAAAATATTCAGACAATATATTTGTCAAAAAACATATGAGATGTCGGAAACGGTAAGTAGGAATTGAGGAAAGTTGAAGTTTGCAATTGTCAATAGACAAAGCCCATGTAGGCACTTTAATTGACGTCCATTAAAACGGAAAAATAATTCGAGCGATTATGGCGCTAGTGTGTTTAACTAAATGGTCACGTCAAACGATAAACGGCTGATTCCCAAGAGGTTATGTTAATTGTTTTGAGGTTAACATGTCATGCTTTGATGCAACACAAGGTTATGTTAATTATTTCGAGGTTAGCGAGTGGTTGTTTCTTCTTCTTTTCCATTGATGGCTTCAGCTGCTAGGAGTACCAGAGTCATGTTGTTACTACAGGTGGAGCTCACACTGATGGTTTAATTGACCATATTGACAGTGATATTTTAAGTTTGCAATTGTCAATAGACAAAGCCCATGTAGGCACTTTAATTGACGTCCATTAAAACGGAAAAATAATTCGAGCGATTATGGCGCTAGTGTTTTTAACTAAATAGTCACGTCAAACGATAAACGGCTGATTCCCAAGAGGTTATGTTAATTGTTTTGAGGCTAACATGTCATGCTTTGATGTGACACAAGGTTAGAGAGTTATCGCCACTCCTCTGAAAAATACGGTAACGTTATTTTGACATCCAATACGGTATTACGGAATGATGAAAAAAAGAGAGTTATCGCAACATTCGATAACTTTGGTAATACGTAAAAATGATGACTGACTTATGGCATATGTCATGTCACAATCATAACATAACCCCCATTACTTTATTTTAACCTGCACATTTTAACTTCATGCAATAAAACAAAAGGTAATAATAAATTTTGGTAGATTTACACAACATAAAAATTTATTATGAATAATATTCTGGAAGCTGTGATTATTGGTGGTGGCTACGACGACGATATTGAGGATGCAATTTTATTTGAAATTCTTAATGAAGGAGAGAATGCAGTGGGAAATCGAGCAGAACGTTATGGACGGTTTGATTTAAACGAATTAGTTCCTGCTGAAGTAAAAAATAACTTCCGTTTCGACAAAGACAATATAATTCGTTTAGCAAGAGCTCTTGGCCTACCTAATGAAATAGTTACCCAACAAAGGCATCGTATTTCTGGTGAGTAAAAAAACGATCTAATTTATTTGAATAAACTTATGCTCTTATATTTCATTGGAGTTGTTAATATTTCAAATGATCTTTTTAATTCCAGGGCTACATGGACTTTGTATTTTGTTGCGAAGATTAGCATATCCTAATCGGCTATGTGATTTGGAGCCATTGTTTGGATTATCTGCACAATCATTATCGCAGATTGCAAATGAAGTAGCAGATATAATATACCAAAATCATGGTCATTTAATTGAAAATTTACAGAATTTACCCTGGTTGAATCTAGACAAGTTAAGGTACTACTCACATGTAAGTTTTCTAAAAAATTCTAGGCATTTGTAAAATTCTTGCAAAGCTTATTAATTCTGAATGTTGCTTAAAATAGCATTTTTAACAAATATCTCTCATTTTAGGCAGTATTTGCCAAAGATGCTCCCTTGAATAACTGCTGGGGATTTATTGATGGCACAACACGAGCCATTTGCAGACCTACAGAAGAACAAGAAAATTATTATTCTGGACACAAACGGTATCATTGTGTAAAATATCAATCATTGTTGAGCCCTGATGGATTGATATTAAGCCTGAAAGGTGCATATCCAGGTCGAAGACATGATGCAGGTATTTTTCGGATCTCCCATTTGTACGATGAATTGGACATTGGAGTTGCAAGATTTCCAAATGGAGAAAATTTTGTTTTATATGGTGATCTAGCATATGGTATAAGAGATCTATTGATATGTCCTTACGGAAACCAGCACTTAACTCCACAACAACAGGAGTTTAATAGAAGCATGAGTGCAGTTAGACAAGCTGTAGAATGGGGTTTCCAGAAAGTTACTACAGAATTTGCTTTTTTAGATTTCAAGAAAAATCAGAAACTTCTTGTTCAAGACATAGAACAACTTTATAAAGTGGCTGTACTGTTAACAAATTGCCATACTTCCCTATATGGCAGTCAGACGAGTCAATATTTTAATGTGGTACCTCCAAATTTAGAAGAATACTTGGGAGTTTAACAGCGTAACTTCCAAACAAGTATATATGTAAAATATAAACAGTGAACACTAAATGTTGGACATTTTTATTTACAATAACCTACTTTATAAAGGATTATCTAAGCTAACTCAAAAATAAAAACCTGTACAACTAAAATCTATATTTAAATAAACCCACACTACACTAACTTAGAGGTATTACTCAATGTTACAAACTGCTGCAATAGTTGCATTTGCACTTTAATCATTTCAATTATTTGTTTTCTTTCCTCTTTGTCTTGTAGAAACTTTTCTTGTTTCATTTTCCTTTTTTCTGCTTTTTCCAATTTTTCTGCTTCAAACTTCTCTCTTTCTAGTATGTGTTTTTTTTCTTCTAAATCTAATTGCCTTTCTTTTAACGCCAGTTCCTTCTTTCTAACGGCAATTTCCCACTCCCGCTTTTTTTCCAAATAATCCAACGCATTTTTTTTCATGGCTGGATTACATTTTCTTTTTCTGGTTGGTGCTAAAAATAATTTGTGAAAAAGTTCAACATGTGGAGTAAGAAAAGGGTAGGAGAGCTTCTGACTGAGAACCGCATGGTTCTGGGTTGGAACCCTAGTCAAGGTAAGAACCCTAGTCAATGGCCATCGATGGCCGTTTTCAACTAGCCCCAATTGTGCTAAGTGCTTACACAAAATAATTATTTGAATATTACTTACTCAAAATATTTCGTTTCACGTTTGGGGTATGTGTGGTCACTGAATCTGGTTCTTCAATCAGACAATGTAAATCCACATCTGCTGTAATTTCTTCAGCATTCGATATGACTGAAAATATATTTTAAATTTGACAAAATGTAATGTAACAAAATATATTTTCACCATGCAACTCTCGTTTTAGATAAAAAAAAGTAAAAATATACCTACCATAATCATGATCTGAAATGATTATTTCATTTTCTTTATTTATAATGTGGGACTTCATTGCTAAATCTCTGGCTTCTTTTCCTTTTTTTGCCAATATGGTCAATAATTGTTTTTCGTTTTTTTTCTCCGACGTAACCATTTCATTTTTGGCAATATCGCTTATTTCCTGTAGAAGTTGATCCAATTCCGAATAAACCTCTTCCACCCCAGATCTAAAATACAATTTTCATTAGGTAATAACAGTAATGAAGTAATTACATGATACTTACTTGGATCTGTTAATTTTATCCTTTTTTACATATTGTAATATGAGCATATTTAAGTGTTCCTTTAGTGCTCGTATTGTAAATTTTTTTGTGGTTAAGATATTAACATTAGTTTGGATTGTTTCCCATCTTACAGCATCCTCATAGGGATTCTGACTTAATACTTCTCTAGCTAATATAATATCATTTTCATATGTAAATCTTAACCGACTTTTGTTTTGTGTCATCTTATTACACTCACTATAAAATATCCGGAATACCAGAGTGAAGCCATAGTATACAGTTCATTTTTGAAATTTTCTTCTTCTTTCCGATTCGGTACAAATGACATGCGGACATATCCGAAGAGTCACGATCATAATACGGTAACCTTACGGTATTCTTTCAAAATACCGTAATACGGTATTTGCCTTTAACGCTATTTCCAAAATACAGCAATCTGCGCAAGCGTAGATGTCAATATAACGTTACCGTATTTTTCAGAGGAGTGGCGATAACTCTCTGTTATGTTAATTATTTCGAGGTTAGCGAGTGGTTCTTTCTTCTTCTTTTCCATTGATGGCTTCAGCTGCCAGGAGTACCAGAGTCATGTTGTTACTACAGGTGGAGCTCACACTGATGGTTTAATTGACCATATTGACAGTGATATTTGACATATAATAGAGAAGACTTGTAAATACTGTGACAGTACTTTGAATGTTGCCGAGTTTAATAAAATGATTTAGTATTTTGGTCATATAGCACCTATATCAAGCGTAGGTGAAATGGATACTGTATATCTTAGAAGTCAGTGAAATATTGATTTACTGTTCCTCTGTTTATAGTCACTTAAACACAATTCACAACAATGCCCATTAGTTTTCATTCAAAGTTTGCCATATGATGAATAATATCAATTCCACGTGTAGTAGATAAAGATGTATAACTGAAACAATGTCATTTTAACGAACGCAGTGAAATTTCGAGTTTTTCTATCATAATAAGAGTAATTATACATGTTGATATGATATGTCACATATCAGTGTTGCCCAACAATTTAATGTGACTGTGGTCAAGTAACCCTCTTTATATTATATATCAAATAATTGTTAATAACATTTCATTTAACGCCAAAAATTTTAGTCTTGATATATGTAAAATATCAGTGTCGATAATCATAAAACGTACAAACATTTTTACTTAAATATGGTCATTTCTGAGTACAATCATCATAAAAGTGAGGAACCGATTAATAAATACATTTGCTTTCTACAATCACAATGATTTTTGACTCGACTAACGAGATTTTGTTTTTGTTCAACCGTTTCTCTTGGTTCTATTATTTCTGCTAGACGTCGTACCTGGCAACGAACTTCCTCATGGTTCGTATACAGTTGGTCAACTACAAGAGGCAACTTGAAAAAAAAGGGAAATCAATGTCCCTCCAATGACGTCATATATTCCTTCAAACGAGTTCTGATGGATTTCTTCAACCAATAAAAACGCGCCAACGTTTAGAATGGGCCTTTAGTAAATTCATCGGTGGACTTAATTATTACTAATCATTTTGAATAATCGTCTCTTTTATTCGACTGATTTCTTCATTATTGAATGCTGTTTTTACTTTTTTCAATTTGTATACCCCAGTGTTAGTATAAGAATTCAGTTTTCTAATAACTGACTGACAACCTCACTCACATAAAAAAATCTGAAAACCCGTAACTTTTTCTGTTGGTAAAACTATCGTTGCCCCCATGTCGTAGTGGCACGAGCTCTCTCAAATTTCATCACACTATTGATAAAACAGAAAAGATCAAGAAAATATAAAATAAATTTTAGTGACCAAAATTGATCAACTATTTATACTTCACCACATTTATTCAAATGTGGTGAAATGTCAAATTTAATGTGACAGAAATTGATCATGTATGAAGCCACATAAGTTGAAGGTCTACCTCTGTGAGTTAGATTTTCCGAATAGAAAATGTAAGAAACTTTATCAATCATCTGGAAAACTCTACTCTTTAATTTCTTTATCACTACTGGAAGATAATAACAATAATTTTTTCAACATTTATATTTCCTCTTTCGTGTCATCGTCCTGTCAAGTACTGACACCTCTGAGAACTTCCACCACCTTGATTTTCCAATGGAATATGGAAGATAAAAAATCCACTCGCTTAGCACTGGTTTTACTAATGGAAGACGCTAATACATTTGCAATGGAAAATCGAGTTTTCAAATAAAATAAAGATGCAGGTCTTCGCACTACAATTATTAGCAAACGCTTAGTACTTAGACAATTTTCCAATATTCAACTGAGTTACTGATCAACTGATTTACATGTAACTGACAGCTTAGGTCAAAACGCCAAATGACCATGCGCCAAATTGAAAAAGTTACAGCTGTCTTCGAAAATATAAATTTCAAAATGATTGTTTCAAATTTTGTTTTCAAAATTTTGAAAAATTCATACGATAGTGTTAAGCATTTTTTTCTGTTTTTATGTATATTGAAATACCAAATGCGCAATAGACACATTTCGATTTTGCGCCATCTATCAACCTGTGTCCAAGTTAGGTCAATAATTTTCTTGCGTCGTGAGTTTTTGAGAAAATCAAAACGAACTGGTAAAAACATTGGGGTTTTTATGGATCTTGATAACAACATAGCTGTCCTGAGTTTCCCCCTCCATAACATGGGAGTCAAGTTGCTACTGTCGTGAGACACCACTATCTGATCTCATTTAGATGCGGCACCTATTAACCACTTGAACAATTCGGAAAACAGCATACTTAAGGTTTCTTCTTTTCACATAATAATTTCAATATCTGTCCAGAGTCAAAATATACGCCATAAATGATCTGTTTCAAATGCTGAATGTGTGTATATTAAGAACCCAAATAATACATAGGCGATTGGAAATATGTTTCACATACTTCTTTATCATTTCTGACTTTAATATCATTGTTTATGTCAATTTATGTTAACTGTCACTATTTGACACTTATGATCACGAATTTGACGCAGTACTAGTACATCTACTGACTAATAGATAGATCGGCAGAGAGGTTTTTCGTTTTCGCATTTTCTATCTGTCTTCTGTCAAGACCTACTCCATAAATATTCTGTTTTAAATTGCTAGATGTGTCTGTCCCGAGTGTGACTGTTTTCACACCAATCTCACGTGTTTACCAACATTTCTATCGACTGAGCGTTATGAAATCAACACATTCGAAGCAATATTACAGGTGACTCCCACGTTTGCTGCATTTTGTAGGTAAACAGTGAAGTGAGACACTGACTGGTTAGTTGTGTTGTTGAAAAAGTGCTGTGAAGTGAGTGAATCACCATGTCCACATCATATACGATGACTTCCGAGAGAGATGCATGGGCTCTTCTGGCTTTGAAATCGGCCCCCGCTAGTCCTTCGAAAGTGCAGTGGAGCCCCGACGACAATGGTGAACCGATAGCTCGAATAGAAGGTCGCGAAATTGAATATCTGGTACGCCAGAGTCGGATAATTATAGGTAGAAACAGTTCACGTGGTGTTGTAGATGTAAATATGGGACGTTCTAGTTTTATCTCGCGAAGGCATTTAGAGGTTTTTTTCGAACATCCTTCGTTTTATATGTTGTGTAACGGGAAAAACGGCATCTTCGTGGATGGTGTGTTTCAGAGGAAAGGAGCCCCCTCGATCCGGTTACCCAAATCGTAAGTTGAGCTAATGTTATGTAAACAAAGTGCTGCTGTTAGAATTATTGCATGTTTATCCTAGGAGGCCTTGAGAGGTTAAAATTTACACATGGTGTGGTATCACGTGTATCTTTTTTCGGTTGCTTGTGTTATATTATTGAAAATCAATACCCCCTTTTCGAGGTCAACCGGGCCTACATTGCGGTCTCAAACAAACTCGGCAACTCATTTTGAAAATCAAAGTATTTATTGAACAGGTGACGTCAGAAGAGCTTCCTCGTCTACTGTAGCCTTTAAATAACGTTACCATAAGAAGTATGCTAGTAGATTAATGTGAATATAAAACGAAAATAGTATTGACGTGAATTTTGATGGCATGACAACTTCCTTTTTGATATTAAGTTCATAACAGAGCACGTGGTACCTCTTTCACGCCGTGGCCCCGAAAGTAATCAATTTTAGCTCTGTCACAGTCGACGGTGCTATTTATTTCAAGGCATCAAAAATCTGCCTACGAATTATTTCGCATTTTGCCGGCAATGGCCGATTCCTGTTTTTATTTTAAGATCTCTGGTGATTGCGATCTAGTAAAGTACATAAATAAAACTTTTTTCCCAAATTCCAAGCAAAACAAAAAGTAGTGTAGATAAATAAACACGTGGAATACAAAGAATGCAGATCTAGTTGGATACAAATGTAAAAAAAATATTGCCGTTTCATGATGATGAACAAGTATACAGGGTGGTAGTTGTTATAATGAAATCTGAAAAATGATTTTCTTTCGCACATTTTAAATACCGGTCTTGTTAGTGCAAAAGTATGTTTGTTTTCAGTCCATGAATAAGTTTTAGGAAAGAACAGAAAACTCATAGTTTCTTTGAGCTTTGGTTAATTACTTTAAAAGTGATTTGTGCAATATTTACCTACAGTATGATCTTTAGATACATACCTATTGTGCTTTTCATTTTGATTCTCGCCAATGATTGAAAAAGCACAATATGTGTTTTTTTGATGAGCATATGAGGGCTCAACATGTGTTTTTGGTTAACCAGCTGTCGTTCCCTGATGAAAAACAACCCTCTGAAGTCAAAACTCGTTGAAGTTTAAAGAGGTCTTTCCTTTTAACGTGCGATTCCCAGCACTGACAGGCGATAACCTGTTCTCAAACAACGACGCCAGCGAAACTGACAGAACCACTTTGGAATTTGAAGCCATGCTTCAATATCGACCGCCGACACTGCAAGGCTACTACTGCCGCCTTGGGGAGCCTCATTTATATTCGAGGATTGAGGTCTCTATAGATCCAATAGATGGCGCAAGGGGAAACGTCATCGCCCTCACTTACTTAGGGTTCTCCTTCTAGGATAGTCGAGTCCAGCAATGCTTTTGTGGTCCAGCCTGGCACTACTGATGAGACCTAGGGCGGGTCGAAACAGCGCTTCCTGTTCAGTCATAAATGCGTTGTGTTTGGGCTCTAGTTTACAACTGATGTATTCAAGTTTGTTTGGGTACCAACATAATTCAGGAACTACCCTGTATACTGCCTTCGCCTTGGATATACATCATCACGAGTTGGTACGGCATACTCCGTCAAATGTTGGTTGCATGTTTCGGCCCTCCTAGAAGAGATAATTCCTCAGAATTCGCTTTTGTAAACTGAGAATAGCGATGTCTATAATTACCTATACCTACTTTATATTTAGCATTGCAGGACTTTTGTAAACGAGAACGTTCAAAGTTCAAAGCGCATTTCTATTCAAGGGCGGTTTTGTTAGGAAATTGTTAACGCTCCAGGGACGGATTGCGGTATATTCGTGCCCCTTATCACAGTTAATTCGTAGGGTAACAAACAGATGGCGCTGGAAGTTTGAAATTCATATGATTTTCAGTTAACTCTATCCTTCAACAGACACGTTACAAATTTCCCAGCCCATATGAAAATACAAAGTCGATGATGTTTTCTAAAAGACGAAACGTCGCAGATAAATTCCGCTTACGTTATCGTGTAGTGACTACACTTTTTAAGGACTACACTGTAGTCCTTAAAAAGTGGCTATGGCAAAGTGCTATTTGTTTTACATTTCCTTTGAAAAAAAAGCTAGGAGAAAATAAAAAAGAAATTCTCAAATTTCAAACTTCAAAAACACTTCACTAACTTTCTTGGAAAGCTTCTAATAATTCCTCTTCCATATTTTCTGTTTCACTTTCACTGTCGTCATTTAAATCAATAATTAATTTATTTCCACCATTAATATGGGATTGTCCAATCTCCATATAGTCTTTTTCAACTAAAATTACTTTTTTAATTCTTTTCTGCCAATCTTCTACGGCCTGGAAAACTATAACGTGAAGTTTTTCTCGTCAAAACGGGTGTCAGGAGTAACATATATCAATCTTGGAGGTGTACAAACTCAATTTTCAAACATATGCTTTTTTCAAGTTTCCACCCCATTTTCACTCCCTCAGACGACCTGGAAAACAATAACGTGAAGTTTTTCTTGTCAAATCAGGTGTCAGCAATAACATATCTCAATTTTGTAGGTGTACAAACTCAACTTTTGAATTTATGATATTTTCCAGTTTCCACCCCATTTTCTCCCCCTCAGACGGCCTGGAAAACTATAACGTGAAGTTTTTTCTGTCGAGTAGATCATCTGGAATAACATATCTCAATTTTGTAGGTGTACAAAGTCGATTTTTCATGTTACGATTTTTAAAAATATTTCCACCCTATTTTCACCCCTTCAGACAGTTTAATAAACTAGGACGGCTCTGTTTTTTTACTAATTCAGTCAATAAGCGATCATATTGAAAAATGGTAGGTGTGCAGAGTCGGTAAATGAAAAAATAATGCGATATTTTTTTCTCGGTGTACTTTGTGGATGTGGATAACTTCACACCCGTGATCTTCGCTCAATATTGTTTTTCGAATTCCAATTTTGATGTATCAACAGAAGTCATGTCTGATGTACTCAAACTCTCACTGTCCTCGAGGAACTTACTGGTAATTTTTTCAAAACTTTCTGTATTTTCTATTTCTTTAGAACGATTTCTTTTTCGGTGGTATATAATATTTACGGTCTGTTCAGCTTTTGACCTTCCAAAAACCTGTTCATTAACTTGAATTCCAACATCAAAGGTATTTTCCTGTGTACATGCTTCATCAGACATGATTTGATTTTCAGCAATATCTTCGTTACAAGTATTCAATAGCATTTGTTTTTCCTTTTTTAGAACAAACGGTGGAGCTTTAGATGTATCGGCCATCGGTCTATCAATCTGGCAATCAAATTTATGCGAAATTACGCCTGATTTCAATATAATTTTTCCCACTTTCATAGTTTTGATATACATGTAATTTTCTAAGTCTGTTTCATCCTAAAATTCAAAGTAGTGCTCAGAGTAAAGTATGTATTTTTTTATTATCATTCATACGCATAGCGCGCTGCCATAACTTTCATAACAGTAAAATAAGAATTTTGTCTGGTGGAGTTACCGAAGAATTATTGCATTTAGAAACGATGAAATACTTGTAACGTCATTTTTTATCATTATTCATTTTCATGCAGTTGACACACTGCAGTAAACAACACACAACTTTCTTTCTACGGCTTTAGCAGACGTAATCCGCTTATCCGTCAGCACTCCCTTGTCGTCGAGTCGACTGATGTGACGTCAAACTTGAACACGCCCCGTTTCGGTGAACGCCACATTCAACTATTAATTTGAGGGGGAAGATAAACAGTGAAAATTCAGATTTTTTCCAGATGTACTATTCGAAACAAACTTTCAAATAATGAAATAAAAAAACTTGTTAAATGAGCCATTCAAATCATCAACTATCGAAAGATTCTATAAGTCCCGGTCGATAGTGGAGAAACAAAGGTGGCGGTGTAATCAAACAATTTAAAACGTAAACATCGGCAAAGGCGATCTCGTTTCGTAGATGAATTTGAATTCCTATGAAGAGTTTCCTTGAACTTTGGCGACAACATCGATCAATAAAACATGTCGCGCGTTCAATAAAAGTTGGCTGCGGACGAAAATGTAAATAAATAATAATGGTTTATCGTAGATGTGCATTGTTATCTAATATTGAGGATGTGGCAGGCTTCGATCGAATACCCCGATATTTATTGCTCGATTAGGATACATGAGAATATGCTTCCTGGTGTTTTTTGAAGTATTCAACTTGACTCAATTCAGAATCTGCTAAAATGTTATAAAGGATCCCTGTTAAGTTAGCAGAACCATTTCAGGCTAATTTTGCACTCTACTTCATAATTTTAGCCTCATTTTAGGCTCATATTGCCGCCTATCGCTGATTTTCTCCGTTTTTTTTATTCAGTGAGTTCTGCTAGCTCAACATCAAGCTTACAGAACCCAATTGGGTTCTGGGACACAAAAAACATTTTGAATCAGACCACGCCATGAATTCAAGCTCATTTCAGTCTCATATTGCCTAGTGGGTTCTGCTAGCTTAATATTAAGCTATCAGCTTAGCTTAATATTAAGCTATCAGAACCCACTTGGGTTCTGGGTCACAGAAGACCGTTTTGTTGGATCAAACAATGTGATAATTTCAGTTTCGTTTTGGACTCCTATTGCATCTACCGCTGTTTTTATGTTTTTTGAATTCAGTGAGTTCTGCCAGCCTAACATTAAGCTTGTGGAACCCAATTGGGTTCTGGGTCATAGAAAAACTTTTTGTAATTTCAGGCTCGTTTTGGGCTCCTATTGCCTCATATCGCTGATTTTTGGATCTTGCAACGTCTTAATTTCAGGCTTGTTTTGGGCTCCTATTGCCCCATATCGCTGAATGTTTTGTTTTTTAAATTCAGTGAGTTCTGCCAGCTAAACAAAAAGCTTGTGGAACCCAGTTATGTTCTGGGTAGTAGAAAAACGTTTTGTTAGATAAGACAACGTCGAAATTTCAGGTTCGTTTTGAGCTTCTATTGCCTCCTATCGCTGATTTTCTCCGTTTTTTTATTCAGTGAGATCTGATAGCTCAACATTAAGTTAACAGAACCCAATTGGGTTCTGGGACACAAAAACCATTTTGTCGAATCATACCACGCCATGAATTCAGGCTCATTTTTAGGCTTACACTGCCCAGTGGGTTCTGCTAGCTTAACATTAAGCTAGCTTAACATTAAGCTATCAGAACCCACTTGGGTTCTGAGTCACAGAAGACTATTTTGTGGGATCAAACAATGTGATAATTTCAGTTTCGTTTTGGGCTCCTATTGCATCTACCGCTGTTTTTTTTTTTGTTTTTTGAATTCAGTGTGTTCTGCCATCCTAACATTAAGCTTGTGGAACCCAGTTGGGTTCTGGGTCATAGAAAAACGTTTTGTTGGATCAGACAACGTCATAATTTCAGGCTCGTTTTGGACTCATATTGCCCCTATCGCTGATTTTTTGGTTTTTTAAGAGTTCTGCCAGTTTAACATTAGGCTTGTGGGACCCAATTGGATTCTGGGTCATAGAAAAACAGTTTGTTGGATAAGACAACGTTATAATTTCAGGCTCGTTTTGGGCTCCTACTGTCCCCTGTTGTTGATTTTTTAATTCAGTGAGTTCTGTCAGCTCAACATTAAGTTTACAGAACCCAATTGGGTTCTGGGACACAGAAAAACATTTTGAATCAGACCACGCCATAAATTCAAGCTCATTTTAGGCTCATATTGCCCAGTGGGTTCTGCCAGCTTAACATTGATCTTGTGGAACCCAATTGGGTTCTGGGTCATAGAAAAACGTATTGTTGGATCAGGCAACGTCGTAATTTCAGGCTCGTTTTGGACCCCTATGGCCCAATATCGCTGAATTTTTAATTTTTTTAATTCAGTGAGTTCTGACAGCTCAACATAAAGCTTGTGGAACCCAGTTGGGCCCTGGGTCATAGAAAAACGTTTTGTTAGGTAAGACGTCGTAATTTCAGGTTCGTTTTGGGCTTCTATTGCCTCCTATGCTGATTTTTTGGTTTTTAAAATTCAGTGAGTTCTGCCAGCTTATTTTTAAGCTTGTGGAACCCAATTAACTTATGGGTAACGGAAAAACGTTTTGTTGGATCCGAAAACGTCATAATTTCAAGCTCATTTTGCACCCCTTTGCTTCGTTAGCTCAACAATAAGCTTACAGAACTCAGTTGGGTTCTGGGACACATAAAAAAACATTTTATTGAATCAGACAACGTCATAATTTCAGGCTCGTTTTGGACTCATATTGCCCCTATCGCTGATTTTTTGTTTGTTTTTTGTTTCTCGTATTATAATCAGGGAAAAAATGCCTTATATTTCCCAATAACAAAGTTACCAATGGTGCCTAGTTAATTTGGGTCAGTCTGTATACTAAAATATACTACTTACGTATATCACTCATGCGTTCAGACACTAGACACGCAGATACTAGAAGTCAGAAACATTGAATTAATGATGTTTTTTTTGCATGAGATTCACCCCTCTGTCGTTTACTGCTATAAACTTTTTAGGCTACGAAAGCACTTGATTTGTTTCAAAAATGCATTTTAATCTATTGCGCGTTATTTTTAGATCAAATGTTACTTTGTAATTTTTACCTACGATTTATCAACAATTATTTTGTTTACACACGCTGTCTGGCTTGTATCTTATGTAAGTGATTTATGATCTGTAATTATCAATTCAGGACAACAATCTCTATTTAATCTATGATTTTTACCTACACTTCAGGAGAAGCAAATTGATACCGAATCTAAAGACAAGGGTTACCTGTTTATATACCTAAAGTTTTTTGGTCCGATGTGGACTTTGTTTGTTAAATGCTGATTATCCTAATTGATTTTTTGGTAATTAACTAGTGGAACCATTACGTGCAAATTAATTTGTCCGTTTTTTAATCTATTGTTGTCACCTAACCCCACGAACACACGGCACTGATGAAGAAATATTGTGAAACGGACCAAAAATTAGTATTGAGTCCATTCAACTCAACTACATTCGATAGCACGTTTACTAACTATCTGGGCGAGAAATGTTTATGACTGTACTCTTATTTTTATTGCCGTTCCAATTGGGAATGGATAGACTGTACAATTTATTACAATGTATTATAACAGTAAGAACTACAAAATCAAAAAAAAAAGGATTATTTAAATCTGATAAGAAAATTCAGTTGATGTCTCCACGTTTAACCACAGCAATAATTTTAGGTTATATTGACTAAATTGGTTTGGACTACGTAAACATGTGAGGTCTAGTATATTACACTGTCGCTAACTACTGTAGTCATTGAGACGGTTCTCCTTACTTCTACCCTCGATAACCTAACCGAGAAATAAATATAAATAATGAAAATAAACAATATGGACTTTGAGTGGGTGTCAGCATTTTGATTTTTTATTCATTTGGAGTACTACTGTAGACTGCTCAGAAGAATCCCAGATCTGTGAAAATAGAAATTTATTTAATTCATATTGTTACGTTCTTACCTGTGAGTTGACCAATAATTGTCTACACTGAATAATCAAACTTAACTTTATTTCACTTAAAATACAACAGTCACTTCAACTATTATTTGAACGTCTATCGCCTTACTAGATCGCTTCGCGTACCGCACTGTAACTTCCAGTTAACTGTCTCGATACACTCGCGGCTAGCGTTTATATATCGTAATCGAATGCGTTAAAATATTTCGCCGAAATTCCGTCAAAATCGGTAGTTTTATTCTCGCTGCTTCTGGAGTAGCTACGTCACCATTGGTTTATGGCTACCAGTGGCGGCCGGCGTTATTTTCTTTCGGGCATGATTTACAACAGTATGTTAAAATTTACGAGTTAAAATTGACAAATAAGTTTCTTTGTGTTCAGATTGTCTCGCAAAAAGTGGAATAGTGGAATGCTACCCAACTAATAATTTTTTTCTTTGATTCCAGATGCACTTTTAGGTTTCCCAGTACAAACATTAGACTGTCTTTCCAATCGCTGATAGACGATAATTCGGAGCCACCCCCCGTACGCGATGTGTCTCCTGTGAGGATGAGGGATCGGTCTGGCGGCGGAACTTCCTCATCTACCAACCCCCTTAGGATTAATATTCCTGATGGTGAATATGCTAGCCCTTTTCCATCACCCACCGGCACCATCAGTGCTGCCAATAGCTGCCCTGCGAGTCCAAGAGGTTCGGATCTGTTGTATTTTTGATAAAGTAGTTGATTAGAAAAACAACCCAAATTTGCATTACGATCTGGATGATTGGATTGAAGATTGCATGCGTAAAGTTAGTCACGCCTGTAGGAGAATGCGTAATAGGACAATAACTTAAGAAAGTATACGGGCGGTGAAAGTACTGAATCTAAATATTTCTCTAGGGCGCTGAAGTGCAACCCTTACGAGCTAGATTCTGTGGGAAAAATTGTTGACAAATTTCCTGGTTATGGGGGCGTCATATGGAAAAATCGTTTTCATTTTAATAATCCTGCAGGAAACATATCTTCACTTTTGATCCAAAATAGCAAAAAATTAAAGTCCTCGTATAAATCTTCGATCCCCATGGATGTTTATCAAGGATATTCATCCTTAAATAAATTCTCTAAAAATCAACAATTTCTTGATTAACAACAACTATTAAAAGGCAGTTGATTTTTCGAGTATTTTCATTCCCAGCTGAAGGTATAAGGGGGGCCTTCTCTTTATTGAAGTAAGCCATTGAGTTGTTCCTATGGTAAGCATAGTGGTATTTTGTCCTTATAGACATTCACAATAAAATGAATAGCTAGTTTAGATTAAGATTTAGATTATGTATTGGGCTATGCAGGCCTCAGCCTACGGGATCATTTAGGATAAGCTTATGGTTAGCCCTTTTAGACCTTCTTAGGTTAGGTTAGGTTAGGTTAGGTTAGGTTAGGTTAGGTTAGCTTAGGTTAAGCTATTTTAGGTTATAAAAAGTATTGGGCTATGTAGGCGTCACCAATACGTGATCATATAGGACACGCTTATGGTTAGCCCTTCTACACCTTCATAGTATAGGTTGGGTTAGCTTAGGTGAAGCTAATTTAGGTTATATTAAGTAATGGGTTTTTAGATTTCCAAATTGTGTGTATAATTTCAGATGTATCAAAAGTCTATTAAATAATGTTATTCGGTAGTTTTGAGTGTAGCATCTCATTATCAATTTATCCAGAATGTATTTCAAAGACGTCATCTGTGGGATTTAAGATGAACAATGGCTTCGTTATCGAATGCCAAATAAGAAATCTCTTCCTATCTCTCTGCATGTCACCACAGACACTAGACACGCAGATACTAGAAGTCAGAAACATTGAATTAATGATGTTTTTTTTGCATGAGATTCACCCCTCTGTCGTTTACTGCTATAAACTTTTTAGGCTACGAAAGCACTTGATTTGTTTCAAAAATGCATTTTAATCTATGTGTTTTTTTGATNGATTGGATTGAAAATTGCATGCGTAAAGTTAGTCACGCCTGTAGGAGAATGCGTAATAGGACAATAACTTAAGAAACTATATGGGCGGTGAAAGTACTGAATCTAAATATTTCTCTAGGGCGCTGAAGTGCAACCCTTACGAGCTAGATTCTGTGGGAAAAATTGTTGACAAATTTCCTGGTTATGGGGGCGTCATATGGAAAAATCGTTTTCATTTTAATAATCCTGCAGGAAACATATCTTCACTTTTGATCCAAAATAGCAAAAAATTAAAGTCCTCGTATAAATCTTCGATCCCCATGGATGTTTATCAAGGATATTCATCCTTAAATAAATTCTCTAAAAATCAACAATTTCTTGATTAACAACAACTATTAAAAGGCAGTTGATTTTCCGAGTATTATCATTCCCAGCTAAAGGTATAAGGGGGCCTTCTCTTTATTGAAGTAAGCCATTGAGTTGTTCCTATGGTAAGCATAGTGGTATTTTGTCCTTATAGACATTCACAATAAAATGAATAGCTAGTTTAGATTAAGATTTAGATTATGTATTGGGCTATGCAGGCGACAGCCTACGGGATCATTTAGGATAAGCTTATGGTTAGCCCTTTCAGACCTTCTTAGGTAAGGTTAGGTTAGGTTAGCTTAGGTTAAGCTATTTTAGGTTATAAAAAGTATTGGGCTATGTAGGCGTCACCGATACGTGATCATATAGGACACGCTTATGGTTAGCCCTTCTACACCTTCATAGTATAGGTTGGGTTAGCTTAGGTGAAGCTAATTTAGGTTATATTAAGTAATGGGCTAAGCAGGCGACAGCCTACGGGATCATTTAGCATAGGCTTATGGTTAGCCCTTTTAGACCTTCTTAGGTTAGGTTAGGTTAGCTTAGGTTAAGCTATTTTAGGTTATAAAAAGTATTGGCTATGCAGGCAACACCCATACGTGATCATATAGGACACGCTTATGGTTAGCCCTTCTACACTTTCATAGTATAGGTTGGGTTAGCTTAGGTGAAGCTAATTTAGGTTATATTAAGTAATGGGCTAATCAGGCGACAGCCTACGGGATCATTTAGCATAGGCTTATGGTTAGCCCTTTTAGACTTTCTTAGGTTAGGTTCGGTCAGCTTAGGTTGAGCTAATTTAAGTTATATAAAGTAATGGGTCAAACAGGCGACAGCCTACAGGATCACCCAGGTTACGCTTATGATTAGCTCTTTTGGACCTTTTTAGGTTAGGTTTAGTTAGCTTAGGTTGAGTTATTTTAGGTTATAAAAAGTATTGGGCTATGCAGGCGACAGGGAAACGTGCTTATTTAGAATACGCTTATGGTTAGCCCTTTAAGAACTTCTTAGGTTAGGTTGGGTTAGCTTAGGTTGAGTTATTTTAGGTTATAAAAAGTATTGGGCTATGCAGGCGACACGGCAATACGATCATTTAGGGCTTATGGTTAGCCCTTTTAGACCTTTCTAGGTTAGGTTGGGTACGCTTAGGTGAAGCTAATTCAGGTTACATAAAGTATTGGGCTATGCAGACGATAGTGCCACATGTTCATTTAGGATATGCTTATGTTACGCCCTTTTAGACCTTCTAAGGTTAGGTTGGGTTAGCTTAGGTCAAGCTATTTTAGGTTATAAAAGTATTGTGCTATGCAGGCGACACCGCTACGAGATCATTTAGGACAAGCTTATGGTACCCCTTCTACACATTCTTAGGTTAAGTTGAGTTAGCTTAGGTGAAGCTAATTTAAGTTATTTAAAGTATTGGCCTACGGCATCATGAGCCCCTCCAGACCTCATGTTAAGTTGGGTTAGCTTAGGTTGAGCTAGCTACGTGATTTTCAGGATAGGCTTATATTTAGCCCTTCTTAGGTTAGGAAGTTCACTGCATAGCCCAATACTACATAGCTCATGACTCAATTTCATCTAACCTTATCTAAGAAAGGCTAGAAGGGCTAAAAATAAGCCTACCCTATACAATCATATGGCGAAGTTGCCTGAATTGCTGAATACTGTATATTCATTATGGTCTAACAAGTAATTAATAAAAGGTTTCAATTTAGAACTCCTCCGTTCTCTAAAAACTCCTAGAGGAATGTTTTGTAGTTTTCTCACTGATTTCCTATTGCTGTACTAAGTTATTTGTTCACAAATTTTATTTCTGGTCTCTTGCTTGTTTTATCTTGCAGCCTATTTATAAATGTTTCACACTTTAGTTAATTTGAACTGAGATAAATATGTTTCAAGGCTATCCGAGTTTATTATGAAATTTAATAGTATATTCTTTTTTATCTTTACGCATGGTGTTTTTCAAGACTGTTTGTAATTAGTTATATATTTTTCGTCTGAACGAAATAGAGAATCACTTACGTTCACTACGGTATCTCTAATTGCGTTTTATTGGATTTGGAGCTAACAATTAATTTTAATTATCGCAGTTGTAAATTGATATGCAAAGAAAATGTATCTGTGGAAATATCCTATATTAGATAGGACATGGATCTTGTTATTGTAATGAATTCAATTCTGATTTTGTGGAATGTGAATTCAAGTTTCACGTAATTACATCTATCAACTCATATAGAATTCCGAAGTCGGTGTTTTGATTATTTCAAGGCTGTTTATTATTGATCATATTTGAACAATTGCATAATTATTTTTACTGAGTTCGTGAAAAACTTCCTAAACTTGGAGAAATCAAAAGCCCTTTGTTTTTCTGAATGATCCATTACTTAACAAATGAACCTAACCTCATTTAATTTTACGCATGCATTAGTTCGATTCCCGCCTTTCAGTAGAAGTTTTGTTGTAGGATGTATGATATAGGATATCACATTTCGAAATAAAAAAAGTAGGATTCGGTGTATCTAGTCTATATATTCATATTTGGGAAAAGATAGAGTTGTCGAAGAGATTACCTGAAATCCGAAATGGAGCCTATAGTTTCTATCAAAAATTTATCAGATCCTTTTTTCGGATTGACTTTGTTTCTCCGGGGCCTTGTTTTTAAATCAGTCGAGCTCTCACATCGAGAGCTTTTCAATTGCAGTACAGAGACAGACATCCGATTTTTCTCTCAATGTGACAATTCTCCTGATTTGAAACTGAGGTCCCCGAACATATAATTGTAAACAGACTAGCATTAAACCCTCAGTGGAACAACGGTTCATAATTTTATTTTGATCTTACTTTAGGTGGCCATAGCGGACATACTGGAAACCACGGAAAGAGGAATGTTCAAGCTGATCTAACGATGGCAGCGAGGTATGCTGCCGAAGTAGCCTATAGAGACGACAGTCATTCGATTCCTCGTAGTCACAGTCCAGATTATAAGCAATCAACTTCCAATGGAAATTCAGTAAGTTGCAATTGTTCATTTCACCTATATACTAGGCCCCTATACGCTTTGAACTGCTTGGCCATCCGCCTTACTCACCGGATCTAGCCCCAGGCGATATTTTTGTGTTTCCTTATCTGAAAATTGCGTTCGGAGTACAGAGATTTTCATCAAATGAAAAGGCAATCGTCTTCTTGAACAATTATCTTACAGAGAAGAACGCCGAGTTCTATTTGGACGGGTTGCAGAGATGGGAGAACTTAAATACATATAATGTACACTTGATATCAGGCTCTTTCAACAGTTTTGCTGGTTTTAATGTCATGTGGACACGTTCTGTAACAGAGCTTTTGCCACTATTATAGCCTCTTAGTTGGGTAAGGCTACTACTTAAAACCATATGAATCCATCACAACTGTCAGGTACTTGTAACCGGATATAGTCACAGGAAGTGGTCACAGAATATCAACTGCGAATATCTCGAAAGGATACCTACTAAGGTACTGCTTCAACTTTACCCTTTGCCTTGTATTCTGATCCTTTCTTGAAGAGCACAGGTCACAGCGCTCACACCATGTCTCGGGGGTGCGACCATCGGGATACACTAGAATTTGCCAGTTTTTTCATCAGGGCTTTCTCATTTCCGAGTGAGTAGGTCTTCTCGAACGCCATTCTATCGTAATGGACACTCCATGTTTTCACCACGAAACAATCAATTTTCCAGTCAATTATCCCACTTCTGACACCGAATTTTGAGTTTTTCCCCTGGGCTCGACAATAATTGACCACACTGTATAATTGAATCCAACTTACAGTTGCCAGCACCTACATACTAGAGGCTAGTGCATACGTTTTTAAAAATAAATCCAATTTTCAGTCCTCTCTTCCAAATCATAGCCACAATACTTGTTTGAAAGATCTAATCGTATTAAACGTTCATAGAACTTCTTTGTATGAAAAAAGCGTAGGGTGTGGGTGTAAATTATACAATATGCTTCCAATAGCTCTTGAGAATTCCCCAAATATTAATGTGTTCAAAAGTCAGCTGAAAAAAATGCTACTTCAAAGGACTTGTTACACCATGATAGAATTACTTTTGAAGCAACGCATCATCCAGAAAGATCGAGACTAGAAATAGAGCTGGGCGCAACCTTGGCAAAGTCACAGTTGATCGGTGAAAACCAGCGGCGGCCGGCGTTATTTTTTTTCAGGGGATAATTCACAACAATATAATTTGGCTTTTCGGTTGTTCATTTATATTTGAAATTTTTCTGTATTATGGTTTCTGTCATCACTATTTATGAACTGTAAAATTTCTTGGGATGAATGAAACTTTGGCTGCTGCCCGTTCCTAAATTCCGTTGTTACATTACAGATACAACCCGTAGTGATGAGTGATGCAGGGGCTTATATGCCTAGTAGCAGTAGTAGCAATAAAGATGATTCGAAGCCTCCATTCTCTTATGCGCAGCTTATAGTACAAGCGATCGCAAGAAGTTCACCGGACAAGCAGCTTACCCTGTCTGGAATATATAGTTACATAACGAAACACTATCCGTATTACCGTACCGCTGACAAGGGTTGGCAGAACTCAATCAGACATAACCTCAGTCTCAATAGATATTTCATCAAGGTAAGGGTACATTTTGAAGACAGAATTTGAAAATAGTTGTTGTTACGATCCTGATTTCTTTTCATGTCGAATTTATGCAAGAAACTGTTGAAATATGAGACCGATTTCAAATTTAAATACTGCAGGCAAAGCATAAAATCATTTTTGTTAATAATTTTTTCTGTTGTGCCTACAGTTTTTTTGTGATGCAATTTCAGGTTCCAAGAAGTCAAGAAGAACCCGGTAAGGGTTCATTTTGGAGGATTGATCCACAATCCGAGTCAAAACTGATTGAACAGGCATTTAGGCGGAGAAGGCAGAGAGGAGTTTCCTGTTTTAGGGCTCCATTCGGTTTGAGTTCCAGGTATGTTTATGTTTCTAACAAAACTGTTTCACAGAACAAATATTTTTTAATGAAATATTCATTGGTACTTTAATTTGTCCACTGAAATAACTTCTAGAAAACTTTTTGCAAACTGATTGTCTTGTTTTACGGTCGTTGGTTATCATGAACTAAAAACCATTGTCTCCTGGTTTGAAATTATTATGTAGGGTACCATGCGCTTGTAATTAGTACTTTCAAGTGTGTTTAGAAACATGAGATGTAGGTGGTCTTGGTCCCTCAATACTTATGAAGGAATATTTCTCATATAACCCATCATTTGGAAATTATGACATAAACAACAACAGAAATTCAAATCAAAAACATTGCCATAGAAATTAGTTTCTCAATAGTTTTAGCTTCTCACAGTTCTACTCAAATCGATTCTACTGGTCCATAAAAAAACATTGAAACAAGAAGAGTGAATAACTTTGGAAAAGAGGACCTCTAACTCTCAAGAAAGACAGATTTGCTGATCTAGAATAAAATGATTGGCAAAACTTTCCCCGCTGCTCCAAAAACCTAATCTCGATTAAATCCTATTTTTGCACGCTTTATATTAGCTTCACCTGTATGTATGTATGTATGTATATATGTTTGTTTGTAACTATCAAGCTCTGGATCTGTATTGACATTATTGTTTGATCTATTCGCGGGCAGATGGCGCTGTTTGAACCTCCTTGATATAATTCGAACTCACTTTACAAGTATTTCTTCATTTGAAAAAA